ACCCAACAACACAGGAGTCACATGATTTCATCGTCTACCCGTCTTCATCATAGGCAAAGGTTGTTTTGATAAGGACCTGCCTCGCATGGGCCAGTAGGCCTTCTACAGTGTTCCTCCATTCTTATGTTCTTATGACATTCCTCAGGTCACGTGCATCACACCTCACTCTCCGCATATATATAATGTCTTTCTACCTCTGTATGTTAGAAGTGATCAAGGTCCCAGGACCGAAACGTTTTCTAATAAATATGTTATAGTGTTTGCTTACGTGTCTTTCTAAAATAAAGTGTAATGTAAATATGATTGGATCATAACGAAATGTCATTGGATATATGTACACTGTATTTAGAAGACGGGAAGGATTGTGAGGATTGTCAATATATGTATTAATTCTTATGTAAATTTCATGGAACTCAGGGTGATAATAATGTACACCTATTAGTCGGATGATAAGTATTGATATTATTATGCTTATTGTAATATAATTTTGATTGATGAAATGTATAATCTGGTATTTATCTTTGGACTAAAGAGATAAAAAGCATAGGGGATGGGGGATATTTTGTAATCACAAAGATGAATCAGCAGTATGTATTTAGAAAATGTAAAAATTTTATTTTTCTGTGGCAGAGTCGATAAGGGGTTCTTATATTCCTTTATTTTATTGTATTCTAATGTATTTTTAAATTCAATGACTGATGGTGGTTATGAGTGGTGACGGCAGACATAGTTACTAGGCATGTGTGGGGGGGGGTTGAAGTGTCAGTGGTAGTGTATTAAACCCACCACCGTGCACGATATTGGTTGTTATCATGGGGTATATGAGGGTTAGGGTGTGGATTGGTTTCATTGGTGGATGTGTGCCATCATGTTCAGACATTCCTTGTATTATAGTCAGCCTTTTAGATGGCTGGATTGTGTTTATGTATGTTGTCAATGAAGTGCTTAATGCTCTTATAAATGTATAAGAGATGTCAATGAGTATACTAAGGTGAAAGTGGTATGTTTTCAAGGGGGGGGGGGGAATGTAAGCATTAATAGGTAGGACTATCGTTTATTATAAGACCATCTTTTAACGTGAAGCACAGTACAGTTAGTTTAATATGTTTATTATGCACCCCATACCCATCCTGTGGGCGGTAGTCAAAAGATTACAGAGGTACATAATTGGTCCAGGGACTGGACTCCAAAGTTTTGATAGCTGAGCAAGTTACAAAGGTAATGAACTAGATCTGGTCATAATCATGACCAAGTTACAAAGGTAATGAATGATAAACACGTTATGACATGATTACAATCATAGACAAATTACAGAGTAATGAGCAGTTAACAAACATAGTAGGGAATTCATCCAATGCCCCAACAACAGATGTTGCTAGGTGCCTGTCTCTCCTCGGTAGACAGCCATTGCAAACAGCAGCAAGTTGCCCCGGGATATGCTGCTTGCACGAGCACCATCGACCCTCCCCAAGAGGTCCAAGAAGCCAGTGACTCCGTTAGCAGCCCGATGGAGAGCTGCCCTAGGGACATGTCAGCGTCCTGGTGGACGCCAAGTTGATTGAAGATCCCAGGCCCTCGTGTGCACGGATGTTGAAGCTTGAGGAACTAAGTACACACTGCTTGTGGCACACCTGGCAGCTGCCTCGCGGTCGAACTCCACGATATATATAAGTAGTGTTTGATTGGAGTGCAGCAGCCAGTTCTGATGTTATTATATAAGTGCTTCTTCGGTATTTGTGTAGTCACTGCAGATTATCGTTTCACTGTCTGTATCTTGTTACATATTGATTATGTACCCATATATTTTGTACCTGAGTTTTAAATAAAATATAAAAAAAAAAACATACACTGACAAAATATAAAAACACATTGTAACTGACACAAAAGAGGTTACCCATATACACTCACAAATATTTCCACATAACATAACAATAAGAAAAAAGAAAAAGGGTGATCCGACCCCTCGGGGGCCCTCGGGGAAAAAAAATGTAGCTTTTTTGTTTACCGTCAGATTTCCTCCAGTTTTGGTGCACAAGACAAAGTGTTTTCACTCTTTCTTGAAAATATTTATCAAAAATATACCTCAAACAACAACTGAGAAAAGACTGAAAAATGACTGATTTACTGAAAATGCCTTTGATTATTATTATTATTGAAGATTCGCCGGTATTCTCCCGGCCCGGGCCTTTTCCAAGTGGTGGCCCGGCCTTGGCTCCCTCTTTAGGGAGTGTCTGAGACCTAAGTCTCCCATGAGAGGAGGCACAAGTACCTCCTCATCTTTGGGACCAACTGTCCCCAGGCCTAGCCACAAGCTAGGCCTCTCTGGTCTGCCATCCCCGCCCCAAGGGAGCAAATGGGAATGACAGTCTTATGAGCTAAAAGCTGACTCGGGCACCTACCCTACCCTAGAAGGGTTAGGCATGGTGTCGATCGTTGCCCTCGATTATTATTATTATTAAAGATTAGCCGGTATTCTCCCGGCCCGGGCCTTTTCCAAGTGGTGGCCCGGCCTTGGCTCCCTCTTTAGGGAGTGTCTGAGACCTAAGTCTCCCATGGGAGGAGGCACAAATACCTCATCTTTGAGACCAACTGTCCCCAGGCCTAGCCACAAGCTAGGCCTCTCTGGTCTGCCATCCCCGCCGCAAGGGGGCAAATGGGAATGACAGTCTTATGAGCTAAAGGCTCGGGCTCAGGCACCTACCCTACCCTAGAAGGGTTAGGCATGGTGTCTATCTTTGCCCTCGATAGTCCTATATGGGACTACGTAAGGTTGTTTGGACACTTGGTGCCGAGAGTACAATACTTATACGAATTTACCTCAAAACCTTTTCTCTAAATAACTTATCTTTATTTCACAAAAAATAAATAAAGTTTGTTAGTTCCTGGAATGTTGCAAAAAAATCTGCCCTTTTACTCCCACATAACTCCGAAAGTATTTGGAATATTTCAAAAATTAAATGGGAGTAATTAGAGAAATCATTATTCTACAATTTCTGTGAATATTATTCCATTTAATTAAGTAATAAAGGCAGAAATAGGCACATTAGGTGAATAAGTTACTTCCGAGATTTTGGCCTGGAACGCCGGCTAGCCCCCCGTCTCAAAAAATAAAATAAAATTTCGCGAAAATCGCGTTTGTTTGGGTGTATTTCTTAGTAAACTGATGTTCTAGTGCAGTTATCCACTTCAAAACACCGTTTTCTCTTACTCAAAGACGACATGGAGAGGAGTAACTCATTTATATCGAAATATTCCCGATAATCTCTCGTCGTATTATGGCTTATTTTATTCAGTCTAGAGTATATAACATGTTTGTATGTTATTTAGAGTGTTTATTATATCATATTAGATAAATTCTGATAGATAAATAAGCCGTAGAGTTGATATATAAGCTGATATAAGCGTAATAATGAAGTGATTTCTAATGGCACCCTCTGGAGCCGAGCGTTCCCATATGGTGCCTGGTTGGCTGGCACTCTACAGATAAGCTCCACCTACTGTTTTATTATGCCAAATAGTCAATTATTATATTAGAAAGAATAATGCAAGAAAAAGCGATAAAAAACAAGGGAAAAATTCCAAAATATATATGGACTGTGAGCAGACTCGCCACCCACATCACCGTCACCTTACCTGATATAAATGACTATAATTTCTTGTATTATTATTATTATAATCAAGGGGGAAGCGCTAAACCCGGAGGATTATGGACATCGACACCATGCCTAACCCTTCTAGGGTAGGGTAGGTGCCTGAGCCCGAGCCTTTAGCTCATAAGACTGTCATTCCCATTAGCCCCCTTGAGGCGGGGATGGCAGACCAGAGAGGCCTAGCTTGTGGCTAGGCCTGGGGACAGTTGGTCCCAAAGATGAGGAGGTACTTGTGCCTCCTCCCATGGGAGACTTAGGTCTCAGACACTCCCTAAAGAGGGAGCCAAAGCCGGGCCACCACTTGGAAAAGGCCCGGGCCGGGAGAATACCGGCTAATCTTTAATAATAACAGCGCCTGGAGGGGGGATGTGGAAGGCATTCAGGCTTAATTCGGGGAACTGGAGCACAGATCCAATTCCCTAAATCAAGAGCCCCTCACCAACATCAAGGAACCTTCCTTGAGGGGCGAAAACATTGTTGATAATCACAAATGATAAAGTAATGACAAATTGACCATCTAACGTTTAGAAATAATGTAATAACATGTTTTATGGTAACCAAAAAATTTTTTTTTTTATTCGCCGGTATTCTCCCGGCCCGGGTCTTTTCCAAGTAGTGGTGACCCGGCCTTGGCTCCCTATCTGGGGAGTGTCTCGAGACTTAAGTCTCCCATGGGAGGAGGTACAAGTACCTCCTCATCTTTGGGACCAAGTGTCCCCAGGCCTCGCCACATTCCCCGCCCTCACGGGGCTCGTAGGGAGAAGCTAGGCCTCTGGTCTGCCATCTACCCCGCCTCGAAGGGGCTCGTGGGGATGGCAGTCTTATGAGCTGCAGATGGTAGCAAGCTCAGGCTAATATATGGTACCCAAAAAAAAATATTATTATGTCTTGACTTTATTTTCATTTTTTTTTTGCACTTATGCAAAACTGAAGGGATTATTACCCAAGACAGCTTCGTTGCAAATTCAAACAGGGTCCCCTGAATATTATTATTATTATTATAATCAAGGATTATTATTATTATAATCAAAAAGAAGCGCTAAGCCACAATATAATCAAGGAGGAAGCGCTAAACCCGGAGGATTATACAGCGCCTGGGGGGGGGGGATGTGGAAGGCATTCAGGCTTAATTCAGGGAACTGGAGCACAGATCCAATTCCCTAAATCAAGAGCCCCTCACCAACATCAAGGAACCTTCCTTGAGGGGTCTCCTGAATAACTTTTGAAAAATTCAGAATGATCGGTTCATAAATAATGGTTTTGCATCAGAAAAATACAAATAAATGCATTTTTGAGAAAAATCAACAAATACATTGAACATTACTATACAGTGGGTAAAAATACTCATAGTGCCTTTATACGTTTATTGAGAGTAGAACTGGTTATATAGACATTATTCCTGAAGTTCCATGAAGATCCCTTTGTCCTGAAGGTCTCTGGTGGCCGGACAATCATAAAAGTCCATCCCAATCAATCTGAAAAGAATGAAATGAATTCTCAAAATCCTATTCCCAGTGATTATGTACAGATACATGTAATTGCACCCATATATGATATTTATACATATAACAATACATATTTATTATTATAATCAAAAAGAAGCGCTAAGCCACAAGGGCTATACAGCGTAACAATACATAAATATACCAAAAAAAAAAAAAAAAAAAAAAAAAACACTAATAATTACGTACCTTTGACTGGATGTAGGTGGACACATGATTATCTAATGTCCTCCAGGCTCGTAGGACGTGTCCAGCTCCCTTTTCCTCTTCTTTCCACTTTGGTTTCGTTTTTCCTTCATGCGCTTCTCCATTAATTCAAGTTGTGCTTGAGTCACTGCTGAACGTCTGTAGCCCAGTGGTATGTCCAGACAGCTCCTCACATATCCAGCATTGTAGTCAGCAACAGCATGGCTGACTGCGAAATCAGCATGCCTCTTGGTTTGATATTTGGCTTTATTGCTGTAAGACCATATGCGTTGATGCAGACTTTCATTAGAGTTTTGCGTTCTGCCTTTTACACAACGCTGCATCATTTCATCTGATGTTAGGTCTTTGTAGACATTATGCACCTCCTCCATTTATGCAGGTTCCAGTTGGAACTGCACTTTCATGTTGGTGTGAGATGGTGGAGGAAGGTTTGCTGCTAATGCTTTCTGGTAGAAACACCAGGATTTATCACCTGTTGGGCAAAGGTGATGCTGAGGTTTTTCATCAGTTGAGGAACAATGGAAGAAGCTTGCCATGATAGAATTCCTCATATCCTCAACTCCATGACCGATCTTCTCTCTCAGGTTCTTATGAAAGTACTGTGCTAACTTATCAATTACAAAGTCTGTCAGCATGCCCTTTTTCTTCATGGCGAACTCCTTCCTCTTCATTCCAGGCTTCAATTCATTCTCAACATAGTGTGACTTCACTAAATTTGTTAGTCTGTTCTTTAGACGTTTTGAATAGTGATTGATACATTCCTGTTTTTCAACATTTACACCTGGATACGGACCCTCACCATCGTTGAGGTCAACAATGGTTTTATACGTACTGCTGTCACCGTCACTCACTATTGTTTTGTATCTCAATTTTTTGTCAAGAGATCGTTGCCAAATTATTGCTGCTGCATCACTTTCCATCTTTGCAGCTGTTCCTGAATAGTTTATGTAGCATTTATGTTCGTGTTCATTTTTATATTGTTCATATTTTTCAAGAGATGTTGTCTGTTTGCTGTAAGAACTTTCCATATAGGCACACACACGACAGTATTTGCACAAAACTTGGTAGTCAATCACTAATTTCGTCACTACATCGATAGCGATACCAATGCCTATATTTGAGTGATGTCCCCTTTTGTGCCATGTTCCGTCATATGTTACATCAATGTCAAGAATTCCATTGACATCTGGTTCAATTTTCAATTTGGCATATTCCTGAACAATAATGTCCCTAGATTCAGCAAGTATTTTCTGGCATGACTCGATACATTTTTCTGTTATTATAGACGCATATTTATTGTATGTTTCTAGAGTGATATATGGAAGAGTGCACAATGCATTTCTACGAGCAAGTGCACTGTATCCTTCACCAGCTGCCATTTCCCCATACACCATCCTGCCAGTTATCTCATTCTCTACATTATTCACACCAGGTATTTCCCCCAACTGATGTCCACACTCAGGACACTCTAGAACAATAGCTGTCTCTAGATGTTGTAATATTTAGTTTTCATTATTTCAACCCAACACTCCGTGCAAAACATTCGCGATAAGACAGTATTATATAATTTATTACAATCGATTATCTTCATATTTACGTCACTAAATTCGGGAATTACATTACTAAATAATGACACTCGCTTTGTGGCACTTGACACCTGAGCAGATGCAGGTGTTGACACTGGATTATCACTCACAACACTAGTATCAATATCTGAGTTGTTGGCCACATCTGGGGTGGCAGTGGAGGTGCTGGTGGCCACATCTTGGCTGGTGGTGGAGGTGCTTGTGGCCACATCTTGGGTGGTGGTGGTGCTAGTGGCCACATCTTGGGTGGTGGTGGTGCTAGTGGCCACATCTTGGGTGGTGGAGGTGCTGGTGGCCACATTTTGGGTGGTGGAGGTGCTGGTGGCCACACCTTGCGTAGTGGTGCTGCTGGTGGCCACATCTTGGGTGGTGGTGGAGATGCTGGCCTCATATGGGATCAATATAAAGTAATTGGGACGTCTTTTGCTCTTAGATCCTTTTGGTAGGCCACAGGTACGTCGTGTGGCCACAGGTACGTTTTTTCTGGGTCGACCACGTGAACTTTTGGTGGCCACATATGGAGTGGCAGTGGAGGTAGTAGTCGTGACAGTGGCCGTAGAGAGGGCCATGGAGGTAGTAGTTGTGGTAGTAGTAGCAGTGGAGGTAGTAGTTGTGGTAGTAGCAGCAGTGGAGGTAGTAGTTGTGGTAGTAGCAGCAGTGGAGGTAGTAGTTGTGGTAGTAACAGCCGTGGTGGAGGTGGCCATATTTGCGGGGCTCCTATATTTTGTCTTCCTTGTTTCTGAATATGAAATATCCAATTGTTCAGTAGCAGTGAACAAGGACAGGTCTTGGGAGGAGGGTGGTGGTACTAGCATGGTGGCGGCGTCACCACGTGGTGGTACTAGCATGGTGGCGGCGTCACCACGTAGTGGTACTAGCATGGTGGCGGCGTCACCACGTAGTGGTACTAGCATGGTGGCGGCGTCACCACGTGGTGGTACTAGCATGGTGGCGGCGTCACCACAGTGGTGGTACTAGCATGGTAGCGCGTCACCACGTGGTGGTACTAGCATGGTAGCGGCGTCACCACGTGGTGGTACTAGCATGGTGGCGGCGTCACCACGTGGTGGTACTAGCATGGTGGCGGCGTCACCACGTGGTGGTACTAGCATGGTGGCGGCGTCACCACGTGGTGGTACTAGCATGGTAGCGGGCGTCACCACGTGGTGGTACTAGCATGGTGGCGGCGTCACCACGTGGTGGTACTAGCATGGTAGCGGCGTCACCACGTGGTGGTACTAGCATGGTGGCGGCGTCACCACGTGGTGGTACTAGCATGGTAGCGGCGTCACCACGTGGTGGTACTAGCATGGTGGCGGCGTCACCATGTGGTGGTACTAGCATGGTGGCGGCGTCACCACGTGGTGGTACTAGCATGGTGGCGGCGTCACCACGTGGTGGTACTAGCATGGTGGCGGCGTCACCACGTGGTGGTACTATCATGGTGGCGGCGTCACCACGTGGTGTTACTAGCATGGTGGCGGCGTCCACCACGTGGTGGTACTAGCATGGTGGCGCGTCACCACGTGGTGGTACTAGCATGGTGGCGGCGTCACCATGTGGTGGTACTAGCATGGTGGCGGCGTCACCACGTGGTGGTACTAGCATGGTGGCGGCGTCACCACCCACAGCAGCTGCTCTCTTTGCTTGTTTAGCCCTTATCATTGCTTCTATGTTCCTTCTCCTCTTCCTGCTAATGTTATAGGCAAACTGTTTCTTTTTTGCAGGCATTGTGTACCAAAAATGTATAAAATTAAAGGCAAAAAGTAACGTCCCAAGGGTAGTCAGCTGTCAGACAAAGTGACACACCTCCTCTCTCGTCAGACTTCCAGTCGGCACTGACTTGAGATGGTGTGAGCAGCTCCTCGTCACAGCTAACCTGATGGTTGCCAGTTACTATTTAGAAGACCTCTCCCAAAAATACACCAAAAAAAAAAGGAAAAAAATACCTGTGATGCTGTTTTATGAAGCGAGTCACTCTGGAGCACGTGGTATTGTTATGACGTGAGCTAGGCCGCGCTGATGACGTAGTTACCATTGTTATAATTACGATAACTTTTTATGTAATTATCGTACAGGGACGAGACGCACACCAAAATGTTGCCAGATCTTTGCTCTATTTTTCGGTAAGATTAACTCATATTGCATATTTTTTCGATTTTTTGGTGTATCTAGGCTCAGACTCGGTAACCTCATTAAGTATAAATTGTGTCATGCTTGTGTCAGAAGCCAGACACAGGTATGGTAAGATTGTGTCATGCTTGTGTCAGAAGCCAGACACAGGTATGGTAAGATTGTGTCATGCTTGTGTCAGAAGCCAGACACAGGTATGGTAAGATTGTGTCATGCTTGTGTCAGAAGCCAGACACAGGTATGGTAAGATTGTGTCATGCTTGTGTCAGAAGTCAGACACAGGTATGGTAAGATTGTGTCATGCTTGTGTCAGAAGTCAGCACAGGTATGGTAAGATTGTGTCATGCTTGTGTCAGAAGCCAGACACAGGTATGGTAAGATTGTGTCATGCTTGTGTCAGAAGTCAGACACAGGTATGGTAAGATTGTGTCATGCTTGTGTCAGAAGTCAGACACAGGTATGGTAAGATTGTGTCATGCTTGTGTCAGAAGCCAGACACAGGTATGGTAAGATTGTGTCATGCTTGTGTCAGAAGTCAGACACAGGTATGGTAAGATTGTGTCATGCTTGTGTCAGAAGCCAGACACAGGTATGGTAAAATTGTGTCATGCTTGTGTCAGAAGTCAGACACAGGTATGGTAAGATTGTGTCATGCTTGTGTCAGAAGCCAGACAACAGGTATGGTAAGATTGTGTCATGCTTGTGTCAGAAGTCAGACACAGGTATGGTAAGATTGTGTCTTGCTTGTGTCAGAAGCCAGACACAGGTATGGTAAGATTGTGTCTTGCTTGTGTCAGAAGCCAGACACAGGTATGGTAAGATTGTGTCATGCTTGTGTCAGAAGCCAGACACAGGTATGGTAAGATTGTGTCATGCTTGTGTCAGAAGCCAGACACAGGTATGGTAAGATTGTGTCATGCTTGTGTCAGAAGCCAGACACAGGTATGGTAAGATTGTGTCTTGCTTGTGTCAGAAGCCAGACACAGGTATGGTAAGATTGTGTCATGCTTGTGTCAGAAAGCCAGACACAGGTATGGTAAGATTGTGTCATGCTTGTGTCAGAAGTCAGACACAGGTATGGTAAGATTGTGTCATGCTTGTGTCAGAACCAGACACAGGTATGGTAGATTGTGGCATGCTTTGTGTCAGAAGCCAGACACAGGTATGGTAAGATTGTGTCATGCTTGTGTCAGAAGCCAGACACAGGTATGGTAAGATTGTGTCATGCTTGTGTCAGAAGTCAGACACAGGTATGGTAAGATTGTGTCATGCTTGTGTCAGAAGCCAGACACAGGTATGGTAAGATTGTGTCATGCTTATGTCAGAGGCCAGACACAGGTATGTTAAGATTGTGTCATGCTTGTGTCAGAAGCCAGACACAGGTATCGTAAGACTGTGTCATGCTTGTGTCAGAAGCCAGACACAGGTATGGTAAGATTGTGTCATGCTTGTGTCAGAAGTCAGACACAGGTATGGTAAGATTGTGTCATGCTTGTGTCAGAAGCCAGACACAGGTATCGTAAGATTGTGGCATGCTTGTGTCAGAAGTCAGACACAGGTATGGTAAGATTGTTTCATGCTTGTGTCAGAAGCCAGACACAGGTATGGTAAGATTATGGCATGCTTGTGTCAGAAGCCAGACACAGGTATGGTAAGATTGTTTCATGCTTGTGTCAGAAGCCAGACACAGGTATGGTAAGATTGTGTCATGCTTGTGTCAGAAGCCATGACACAGGTATGGTAGATTGTGTCATGCTTGTGTCATAAGCCAGACACAGGTATGGTAAGATTGTGTCATGCTTGTGTCAGAAGCCAGACACAGGTATGGGAAGATTGTCATGCTTGTGTCAGAAGCCTGACATAGGTATGGTAAGATTGTGTCATGCTTGTGTCAGAAGCCAGACACAGGTATGGTAAGATTGTGTCATGCTTGTGTCAGAAGCCAGACATAGCTATGGTAAGATTGTGTCATGCTTGTGTCAGAAGTCAGACACAGGTATGGTAAGATTGTGTCATGCTTGTGTCAGAAGCCAGACACAGGTATGGTAAGATTGTGTCATGCTTGTGTCAGAAGCCAGACACAGGTATGGTAAGATTGTGTCATGCTTGTGTCAGAAGCCAGACACAGGTATGGTAAGATTGTGTCATTCTTGTGTCTGAGGCCAGACACAGGTATGTTAAGATTTTGTCATGCTTGTGTCAAAAGCCAGACACAGGTATGGTAAGATTGTGTCATTCTTGTGTCAGAAACCAAACACAGGTATGGTAAGATTGTGTCATGCTTGTGTCAGAGGCCAGACACAGGTATGGTAAGATTGTGTCATGCTTGTGTCAGAAGCCAGACACAGGTATTGGTAAGATTGTGTCATGCTTGTGTCAGAAGCCAGACACAGGTATGGTAAGATTGTGTCATGCTTGTGTCAGAAGTCAGACACAGGTATGGTAAGATTGTGTCATGCTTGTGTCAGAAGCCAGACACAGGTATGGTAAGATTGTGTCATGCTTGTGTCAGAAGCCAGACACAGGTATGGTAAGATTGTGGCATGCTTGTGTCAGAAGCCAGACACAGGTATGGTAAGATTGTGTCATGCTTGTGTCAGAAGCCAGACACAGGTATGGTAAGATTGTGTCATGCTTGTGTCAGAAGCCAGACACAGGTATGGTAAGATTGTGTCATGCTTGTGTCAGAAGCCAGACACAGGTATGGTAAGATTGTGTCAAGCTTGTGTCAGAAGTGAGACACAGGTATGGTAAGATTGTGTCATGCTTGTGTCAGAAGCCATACACAGGTATGGTAAGATTGTGTTGTGCTTGTGTCAGAAGCCAGACATAGGTATGGTAAGATTGTGTCATGCTTGTGTCAGAAGTCAGACACAGGTATGGTAAGATTGTGTCATGCTTGTGTCAGAAGCCAGACACAGGTATGGTAAGATTGTGTCATGCTTGTGTCAGAAGCCAGACATAGGTATGGTAAGATTGTGTCATGCTTGTGTCAGAAGTCAGACACAGGTATGGTAAGATTGTGTCATGCTTGTGTCAGAAGCCAGACACAGGTATGGTAAGATTGTGTCATGCTTGTGTCAGAAGCCAGACACAGGTATGGTAAGATTGTGTCATGCTTGTGTCAGAAGCCAGACACAGGTATGGTAAGATTGTGTCATGCTTGTGTCAGAAGCCAGACACAGTATGGTAAGATTGTGTCATGCTTGTGTCAGAAGCCAGACACAGGTATGGTAAGATTGTGTCAAGCTTGTGTCAGAAGTCAGACACAGGTATGGTAAGATTGTGTCATGCTTGTGTCAGAAGCCATACACAGGTATGGTAAGATTGTGTTATGCTTGTGTCAGAAGCCAGACATAGGTATGGTAAGATTGTGTCATGGCTTGGTCAGAAGTCAGACACAGGTATGGTAAGATTGTGTCATGCTTGTGTCAGAAGCCAGACACAGGTATGGTAAGATTGTGTCATGCTTGTGTCAGAAGCCAGACATAGGTATGGTAAGATTGTGTCATGCATTGTGTCAGAAGTCAGACACAGGTATGGTAAGATTGTGTCATGCTTGTGTCAGAAGCCAGACACAGGTATGGTAAGATTGTGTCATGCTTGTGTCAGAAGCCAGACACAGTATTGGTAAGATTGTGTCATGCTTGTGTCAGAAGCCAGACACAGGTATGGTAAGATTGTGTCATGCTTGTGTCAGAAGCCAGACACAGGTATGGTAAGATTGTGTCATGCTTGTGTCAGAAGCCAGACACAGGTATGGTAAGATTGTGTAATGCTTGTGTCAGAAGCCAGACATAGCTATGGTAAGATTGTGTCATG